ATATATCACATATAACTTGAGGACTGTGCAGAGAAACCCAAAGAACCACTAAGTTCTTTTGCTGACTCTACAAGCCTGATGGGAAAAGCTCAATGACAGCCATACTGGAGTGGGAGTTTCTCCGTGGGCTCATGTATATTTGCATTTGCGTCAGCAATAGACATAGCAAACAGAAACAGCTATTTCAGGATGGAAAAATATATAAAGTCTGAGAGGCCTGTTAAAAAAAAAAAGAAAATACAGCAGTTTTGGCCCTGCTTATAACCAGCTGTATCAATAAGGAAAAAAAGATAGAGGAGATTTTTGTGCCAGCTATCTAGAAAAAGATGCTGCTTGAACCGAAGTGATTCACAAATCTATATGAGGCTTCCAGGCCAGCAAATCACGGTTAAAGTCACTTTGTTCCTCTGCTCCTTCAGCATAGGAACGAGTGCAGAATGGCTCATTCCAACCGTGGATAGTCCGTTTACAGCAACAATCATATCACCACACCTGAAAAACATAAGAAGAAAAAGAAACAGACTATGACTCCTGCTCCGCAGTAATTAGCACAGACCAACAAACAGCACTTCACTGCTGGGGTGACAGGTTCGCATCAGGCTGGGTGTGTAGTTAAAAAGAGCAGAGATTCAATTTTAAGTCTGTTCTACTACTGAAAGATGCCCCTGCTCATTGCAAGAGTATTGGATGACATGACCTTTAAAAGGTCTCTTCCAACTTCCAAACTATTCTATGTTTCTATGAAATTCACCTGAGAAATTCCTAAATCATTAGATTTCAATTCTAATACAAAGATAGTTCTGCATTAAGAACTGACCTGGTAGGACAATGTGAAAAGAGAGTTGGCAAGAGCTAATGGAGTCAAGAGAAGATAATGGGATAGCATGTGCATGCCAGAAGCATTTCTGCTTGTGTGGATTATAACAGTTTTACACTAAACCTAACCCTTTACCATAGGAGGTGTAAGAGAAGATACTTATGGTTACCAATCAACCACATTCCAATCAAGAACCCTGTTCTCAGTGGCTTATGATTCTCTCAAATGTAACCATTTGGCTTGAAATCTCCCTCAGCAGATGGTTCAAAACTAGAGAAGTTGTAACATCTCTGTACTTTGAAGTGGGAAACATAAAATTTGGAAGGGTGATGTGTGCTGGCCCTGAGAAAACTGACCTCAAAGTGTTAACTTTCAGTTTTTAGAAGCTCAAGAAAAACTTCAAAAAAAATACCCCAAAACACCTGAGCTCTTCCATGTTGAGCAAGCTCTGTGTCCAGACATCTCTTCTTTGTGACTTGTGTGTTTGGCATTCCCCAGAGCAATCACACATGACTGTAGATCAAACAGGACTTTTCCTGAAACTGATCCCCCTCAACTAGTGAAGGTACCAAAATGGATGGCAAAAAGATGTTCTCCTGAGCTCTCCTGGTGCCTTCCACTAGGGCAAAGTAGAGGAAGAGGAGGCAGTGTGACCAAAACCAATCAAATGTGCATTCCAAAGTCCTTCTCTGCCTGAATTAAGGAACCCCATCACCCAGACCACAGTGCTACAGTTCACTGAGTGACATCCCACTCACCCAGCCTTTCTCCTGAAGTCATTTCACCTTCTATAAAATCACACCAGGTAGATCACGTAAGCAGAAAACTGTCTAAACTATTGAACTGTGAAGTTATTTACTCCCTTTCTCTCTAGCCTAACAAAATATTTAGATAATTCAAATGAAACAGCTTTACAAAGGCCTGCCCCACAATAACTCTAGGTTCTAAGGAGCTCTTATTCACGGCCCATTTTGAAGACCATATTCTGAGTGAGAGAGTACATTCGAACAGAGGGTACCATATCAAGTATCACACAAGAGCATCTTTTCCACTCCTTACAAGGGGGCAAATGTGACCATGATGACTCTTCCCCTCTTTTTAGGAATTATGTTTGGTTTTCCATTTGTGTAAAGACTTCTAGTTATCATGTACCCCATCTGAAATTATTTACCTTGGGTTGAACTGAGATCTTTAATTTAATCCACACTGTTCCACAGTTGGAAACAAAAAACAATGTGATTTTGTGTTCAGCCAAGTTATTTTTTCATTTATTTATTCAGTCATTGAACTGAAAAATCAATTACTGTCAAGGCTCTAAGCCTAAGTACATTTTCTTCTTAAGTTACTTTGTAAGCAAATTTACATGTAAAAATCACACCATGAAACTTCAAGTTGCATATTCTTTACTGCCACCTTCAAAAAAAAAAATCAAGTTTATGAACAAGAGAACCTTTAATAGGAATTATATGTCCTAGCTGTGAACTAATCTTAAAGATGCATATCTGGATACTAGACCTGGGGGCTGCATCCAAACATCACATGTAAGCAAAATCATACAATCTTTAAGGTCAGAAGGGGCCTCAGGTGGTCTATAGTTCCACCTTCTGCTGCAAGCAAGGTCAGCTATAAGAACTCTCAGGGCTTAATGCAGTTGGGTCTCAGAAACCTCCAAGGGCAGAGACAGTGCAATGCATGCCGCTGCCCGACCATTCCCACAGGGAAATAGTTGCTCCTTATAACCAGTCACAAACTCTTTTGTTCAACTTGTGCCCATTGTCTCTTATCCTCTTGCCCTGCATCACTGTGAAAAGCATGGGCTCTGTCTCCTTGATAATCTAAGTACTGGAAGGGGCTGTTGGCTGTCCCTGCAGCCCTCTCCAGGCAGGGCAAGTGCCCCAGCTCCCTTCAGTTCAGGGGCCTGTGCTGAACTTGTTTCATTTATCAGTGACTCTCCTGCCAACTAATGACTCTCAGGGCACTACCACAGGAACTTGGTTCCTTAACAATCTTTTCAGAGATTTTCTCTATCTACTTTCCTGCCCTTCCATTTAAAGCAGCAGCACCAATCTTCAGTACCAGGGTTGCCAGCAGTGGCTTCAGAAGGGTAAAACTGTTTTCCTCACTTCACAGACATTCTAAATTTAAGCTGCTCTCTTGGAAGACAAAAACTAGCTGGTTCTTCACATATACATTGCACAATGTCGCTTGGCCGAAAGAAGAGTTCAACAGGGAGACCGAGACAGCAGGTGATGAAAGCAGAGGAGATGGCAGAGGTGCCAGCACAGCCATCACCTCTGATGGACAGCCTTTCCCCAGCAGAAACACAATCAAGGAGGCAAAGCACTACTGGGCTGAATGATCCCCCAGCTGAAGATGCTACAGTGTATTTCCTTAAGCAATTAGCACATAACTATTTCAAAGTATTTTATGATTGTTGCTGTTATTTCTACCACTATTATTTTAGCTTACTTTAATCTTCCATCAAAGTAGGCAGGAGTTCCCAGAACAATGGTTTTAATGAAGAAAGGCTGGTTTGTGTGGTTCTCCTCGTAGCCACCGACGATGCTGAAACCCCAGCTCCCTAAATTGCTCCGCCGCAGCACTACGTCATGGCAGCTATGCAGGCAGCTGTGGAATGGAAGCACAGGATAATGGAAAGAGAAAAAAATGTGTATATTTTTCAGTAGGCACAACATCTGCTGTCTAGTCATTACCACGGTGTTAAGTGTAGAAGAGAAGGGGAGGGATGATGATTAGACTTCTGTTCCCAGAGTACTTCTGCAATATTCAAACCAATTACCAAAAAACCCCACAATCTTGAGACAGAATAGGGTTTTAAAAGAAATAATGCAGTGCTACAATAATTACTTAAACACAGTTAACTCTGTAAGCTGACAGTAATAGAATTTTAGAGATTTCACAGGTGGCAACAATGTGGGTGGAAAATCAATACCTGATGTGTTTAGTTTGCAAGTCAAAACTGCAGAGCATTTTTCTTCCACCCCCAGTCACTTTAGGCTTTTTCTACTTTAAGTACAATTTAAAAATCCATGTGCAATCTTCATTACCTCTGAACTGATGCATCACCAGTAATGAAAATATAAATGACTAACCATTTTATTATACAGAACGTAAATAATTCAGATCACGCTTCACTAACTGTACTGCTGTATGTTATCTCCCCTACTGAAAATTCATTCTTGCCAATGAGTTGGCAATGACTGTAATTAAAGATAAAAAACAAACCCAAAACACAGAAACTAACTTTTGAGTAAGATGAGACGTCAAGTTCTTTACTGATGTTCAACCCACTTTTAAAGAACAGCAGCATAATGCATAGCATAACTTTAGGTGTCACGAGCATCTGTAGTATATAAGAAAAAAACCCATTGCTGCAGCATGGAAAGAACTATATTTATTTACCAAAACTGAGAGCCATTTATTGACATTATGCAACACATTAATATGTGAATAGAAAAGAAAATAACTGACAGTTAAACTCAGAAAAAGTGAAATCTTTGGAGGGCCAACACATAGTTCTGTAATCTTCAGCTGCTTTCTGCTAGCAATCTGTCTGGTTCTTGTGGTGGTTTTATGCTTAAAGTACAGACCTTGGTAACTCCATCAGAGGGAAAGGAATTAACCTGCACACCCCCTGACTGAAGTTAACAACACTAATCACTGTAGCAGCTCTTCTTGTTAACAAGCAATGCCAGAATGAGCTTATAGCTGCAGCCACAAGAGAGTGGAAAACAGAAGAATACAAATGAAATACGGTGATGTCCAGCAGATTGCAGACTAGTCAAGGGGGGAGAGCTTGCTGCATACCTTAATGAGTTTTTGTGCTTGACAGAGACGGTAGTGGATTCTTGAAAAACACAATGGGGATTTGTAACAGATGAGCTCACAGATGAGCCTATAGCTACACAGCTACAGTCTTGACATGGGCCATGTCAAGAGTCTGTCAGAATGGCCAAAGGCCTCATATATTTAGACAGGAGATTAGCAAAGAGACAGATACTCTGCAAATAGATTAGCAGAGAGACAGATACTTTGGGTTTTCTCTTAATAATTGCTCTGGTTTTAGATATCCTACAGAAAGTTATGGTATGGTTAAACAATATAAAAGATAAATTATGTTCAGTGAGAAGATTCCACATGGGTAGTTACTACAGTTTGTGAAGGAATAAACCCAGTCTATTCATCTTTGAGTTTCCTAAGGAAACACAGGTCCTGTTCACAGCCCACTTTGTAAGCACACTGCCAACCCAATCTAGCTGAGATGGTCAGACAGGCAGAAATAATGTAAGATGTGCTGCAAATAATCAGGCTTCTGCTTCTTCGTCTCTCTTGGACTTAGAACAGGTAACTAACTTGTTGATTAATTCTGTACCTTGGAAGTCCCAGCCACATGACCCACGACGGTGACCAGCTGGCATCGTATTCATTTTCACTGATGGTACTCAATTGTTCTTCATTAGCTTGGGGCTGTTCTTCTACAATCTGGACTTCCAGGGCTTTCAGAGCGACTACGGAGGAGGCAGCACTAGCTTTCAGCATGGCCACTGCCTCACTGTGACTCAGGTTAGTCAAATCAATGCCATTGATGTTCAGCAGCACATCACCTGTTCAAAGGCATGAGCGAGAACACATCAGTCTGACAGTCCTTCCTACTGGCAAGGCCTCCCATGTCAGGGTTTCATTTAATACTGTATTTTTTGGACCTGACACAGTCTGAACTAACAGACTGGGAATGTGAATAGCTCTGAAGCCTTATACTGTCAGTTTTAAACATTAATGTATTGAACTATTAAGCTGGATCAGTATAACTTATTTCCACATAACACATCGAATACTGTGGCTTCTGTGGTATATTGCCCTGAAAATCTGAAATAGAAATTACCTAAGCACTTCTCCATCTCAGCTGCAACTGCTACTGCAGCTGCCATGACACAATTGTTTCCAGTGGTGGATCTTAGGTTCACCCTAACATTAAAAGGGAAGGAGAACGATGGAAGGAACGATACAGGCACCTCAAAGTAACCAGTTCTTGTGGACAGTGAAGTTCCATGTAATGTTTTAAGTCATCTGTTTTCTCTAACTTGTTACTTGGGAGAATAAAATGGAGTTCAAGAACTACTGGAAAGTTTGGCACAAAACCCATTTAATTCAAAGAAAGAAATCAAACATCTCTACAAAGATATTCTGGAAAGAGTCAAAGCCACTAAAAAAATTGCCACAATTTTTATTTTATTTCAGAATAAGTTAAAAAAGCCTCAGGATCAAAACAAGAAGGCTATTAACTATCCAAGCAGTAACAGTCTCCTTTTTCACACATCTCATCAATGAAAGCCAGAAAAAAAACAAAGCAAAAGTGCAAACACCTGGCTCACATTTGAAATGAGACTCAGTTTTAAAAAGCTTTTTCCTGCCAGTAGCTGCTGTGGCTACTTTAATGTTACACAATGAAAGAGCAACAGTGATTCTTCTATTAAGCGTGTTTTCCATAGTAGTACAGAAAAAGAAAGCATACCCACTGGTGTGTGGGTGTAAATCTCCCTCTCTCAGAAGCATATAAGGATGCTCCCACACTGTTCTTTTTAAACATACAATCTGTGAAGTTTCTTTCCTAAATCTCTTTCCTAAAACATTCTGTAATTCTGTGAAGTTTGAATCACAGAGATCCCATAGGCAGTCTTTGTTTCACATACAACACAGTATGTTTTAATCATCAAATGCTTTGCTATCAGTCATGCAGGACTGCCTTCACTTATGCCCAGCCTAACCTCCACCTCCTTGTTCCCTTCTGCAGACCCAAGGAACAAGGGCAGGTCCTGTAGCACTCCTGAAGACTTGCAAACCCAAGGTGTCCCAGAGGATAAGCAAGCATTCAGGAACCAGGATCAGCACTGATGTAGCTCTGGAGCATGGGTGAGCTGTGGCCTGTCATCACAGCATCTCTGCTGTGCAGATATACTGGAGAGCAGAAATTCCTTGGACAGAGTTATGGTCCAGCCCACTAAATCAAACACAAAAACAGGATGTGTGTGCTACAGCACAAAGCATCACACCAGACCCTCAGCTCAGGCGATTACTGCCAGCTTTAAAGAATTCAACCAGACATTTCCTGGTCTTATCTGCTTCCCCTGCTGTCATGCTCTAAACATCCCCTTCCTAGAAAAGGTGGAAATGCGATATCAAATACTGTGTTTCCATCATGGAAGCATGAAGAAAATCATCCATCAGCACTTCCCTACATCCATGAAAAATGTTTTTGACACCACCTGACCCCAGAGAATGTAGTCATCAAATAGCAGAGGTCACCCGTGCCACCAGGGAAGCCAAACCCCACCTCGTTTAATCCTGCCGTCTCTTGCCAAACACCCGTGAGGCTGCACACTTGTCACAAAGATGGGAAGTTCACCACTTTTGCTGCCTCTGCCTCCTGCCACTGTCATTCCCAGAGATTCATGTGGCTCTTTTTTCACAGTAATGTGCTTTTCTTGGCATGTAACACACTGGGAGAGATCCTGTTTGACAAGGATAAACAACATTGTTAAAACTAAAAAAACACAAATCAAAAAACAACCCCCTCCAAAAAAAATCCCAAACAAAACAACAAAAACACAACTAAATACTCCTCAAAGCTATGCTTTGGCACATTAATGGAATGGTTTAAAAGGAATAAGTAGTGTAAATGAGCTTTGGTTGGACTTCCTCCAGGTCAGAAAAAAAAACCCCAACAGCAAAAAAATGCCATTGATGTAGATACTTAAACATCAAGTTTATAAATGTCCATCTTGAAAATCCCAGTCTAGTTTTTCCTTAACATCCTACACTGGAACAGGCTAAAGTTTAGGACTGCGCTACAAAACCATACGGTCGATAGACTGCAGACAAACCAGAAACAAATATTTTGATGTCTTGGTGAACATCAGCACTACCTCATTTGTCAGTAGAATAAGACCCACAACTACAAAGCAGTTCCTGAGATGTGAAAACACGTTTGTTTTCATGATGACAATAAGAGACCCTTTAAAGCCCTTATATATCATGTTTTCTTTTGCAGCTGCTATGTAGAATCTCCCAGAGCACAAACTAAGGCAAATCAATGCTAATGGCTGGTAATGGGTACCTTGGGCAGACTCCCTGAGGATTATGATGAAGACTCAAACTTGAAGGAAGAAGAGATCCTGTCTTAAGTTTTCTAACACCTGAATGATAAAGTTTAGCCTGTATTCAGTTTTGCCCAATCAAAAGGATCTAAACCTGAATCAAAGTAAATTTTATTTGCTGAAGGCCTTCCTCTTTAGGCTATTTAGTGCAACATTCAAACCACTGCACATACACCTGTAGTGGCATCTTACAATGACAGAATACTTCCAAGGAATGCAAAATAACAAAAAAAATAACCTGGGAGATTCTTCCAACTATAAATATGTTATTCCCCTGCCTTCTCTTGGAAAATACCAACATTGTCTTCTTCCATCTCCAATGCCACGTGTTCCTTCTGACTGACTCTGTTCCTCATATACACATGTTAATCATGTATGTAGCTATACATAAACATACCATAGCTTACAAAGACAGCTCCTTCTTAAGTCTTCAGGCTTTAGGACTGACTGGCTGGCGCCACGCAATTATATAAACATATTTTAAGCCACAAGACTTCTAAGCCAACTGCAGGTTAATGAGAGAGAGACAAAGATAAATGATACGAAACATGGGAAACGTCCACTTGCAGTTACATGGGACTTCCCACTTTGAAAGAGCCCCCGGATAGTATTGATATGTGAGGGAAATTTGCTCAGCCAGCTGTGGTATGAACATAGCCCATGCTGGCACATGGGAAGTGGGTTCAAGCTCTGATATTGATGAGCTGTAATCATTGTGTTGGTATGGCCCAGCATTGTGGCAAGTACTAACAGCCAGGATATTCCAGAGCCTCACCTTTGTCCCTCGGGAAGAAAACAACCTTCCTAAAGCCTCAACTGTTCTTTTCTGACGTTACCCAAACTTTTAAGAAAATACTATCAACACATGTAAATGCTCCCTCCAGAAGTATGATAAATAGTGATGACTACAGAGTGGATGGGAGGAAAGGTGGCTTGGTTGACATGGTCAACATGACAATTATTTCACAAAATCAACTTCTCAATAGTGAAAAATCATATTTTTCTAACTACAAGAACATCTCAAACACAGGCTTTAATTCTGCAGGTCTTCCAGATAATCTGATGCTTGTTTAATGAAAGTCTCTTCACTTTCCCGTTCTCTCCCTGCTTGAGAACCTGCAGAACTCAGTAGTCTTGAAGCCAGGACTGTTGGCTCATGGAGGAGATGACACAACCCTCCAACATGTACTTTCTATGCTGGATAGTGGGCACCACACCTCCTGTCCTTGTTGGCTACAGACAGCAAGTGGCAACAAAAATTGTAACACTCTTGAATAACTCTTCTGTGCAGGACTAACACATAAGCCACTGTCTTAGACAAGGTCTAACAACTACAGCTGTATGCGCTCACAGAACTTGCTTCTTGCACTGCAATCAGGAAATCCAAAAAGCATACTGAAAAGCCATTGTGTATCTTTCTTTTATTCCCACTCCAGACATGATGCAGGGCTTGACTACTTCGAAGTCATCACCTTTTTTTTTCTTTAGTTAGGTAGAAAAGAAGATATAATCCTTTCTTCTAGTCTCGCCTTGCTACTCAATTAGATTGTGACATGAGTAAAATTGTATTAGGATCTCTCAGGAGGAGAAAGACCAACCTTATGTGAGTTAGGTCTGCTGTGAAACAGCTGCTGGGACTGGTGGTGTGAATTGTTGTTGTGTGTCCCAGTGTCTCGGATAATACTGACGGTCTGTGACTTCAGGGGTCTAGAGATGATCAAATTCACTCTCTCCCCACTAGCCTGTTGAATACATAAAGCAAAGTCATCAAGTTTGACAGGATATTTATTATTAGAGAGGGAGGAAAACATATGATGAAACGTGAAACAAGACAACAGCAGAACTTGTTTCCCAGTTCCTGCTTAGACTGCACAGTCCTTTACTTGTTTCTTCTTGCAATTCCCCCCAGAATGGAGGGGATATTAACACTCCTCCTTCATCTCTGATGTTACATTTACATCAGCTGGAAATCCTTTGCCAAAAGGACCATTTTGCACTTTGTGTTATGAAGTTTCAAACATTAAAATTCACTCCATTCTATTTGCAGCCTCTGTGAGCTTCTGCAAAACATAGCAACAAATGAAAGAAATGCCTACATCATGGCTCCAGAGTCTGCAAATTTTGGTCAAGAGCTCTGAACACCTCTGGTACTTCCCCAAGACACTTCCAAGAAAGATGTTATACTTGAGCAGACCACCAAATTCTGGAGTTTAGGGACTATTAGGAAGACTCACCAGATGTTAAATAAAACAACTCTTTCTATTGCTGCAAAACCACACCTCAATAGATAAAAACCACCTATTGAAAATTCCCATCACTGTATCCAAAATCTGGAAAACTGAAATTACAATTCTCAAGATGGTTGTTCTTTTCCTTTACCTTCAAGGAAAGGTCTTGAAATTATTCCTGTAACAAATATTTACTACTCATTTTTATCGGAGTTCTTTACGTGGTGCTGGACTAAGCAAAAATGACTGCACACAACTGCGAGAACCTACTATTGGTTCTTCCAGTTTTCCTAAAAATAGAGCAATTTCCACTAACATCCCACCAGCAGGAAGCAGCAACATGCTGCAGCTGTTTCCTTACAGACTGGGAGAAAAGCATGGAATAAAGGTTTTCCTGTGGGAACAAGGAAGGGTCATATGTCACACTGCACCAAGCTTTGGGTAATATTTGTGTCCAGAGCAGAGCCATTGGGAATAGACCTTTCTTGAATACTCAGAAAACAAGTTTTATTGTGCAGAACTCACAGAAGACCTGTTTGACTTCCTAGCTGCTACCTGTTAACTCTATGAAATCTGACAAATTACTTTCCCATTTTAACCCAATTCCCTGCACATGCAAAACAAACACAAAAAAGCTCACTTTTGTAGAGTTTACTGAGAGATTAAAACAATACATACATGAAAGAGAATAATAATCCTGCTTTTCTGCTAAACAACAGGCTACTCTCCTCGCTCACATGAGCAGTCTTCTAACCTTCAGGCTGCATGCTTGAGAAGTCTAGTGCACTCCTCACTTCTGTGGAGATGAAGTTCATCTGCTAGGTGCCAAACCAGACCCTGTTTGCACTATTATTTCCAGAACATAAATCACAGCAAATTGCACCGCCACAGGCTTTAAGGCATTACACAAGCTGTTCTGTCTGGGACAGACTCTACCCCAGGCTTTGCCCAAGAAATAAAGCTGAGCTAAGGACTCAGGCAGGGAATGCAAATTACCTGTATAACCTGAGCAGCAAGCTCTGGTGTCCCATGCTTCAAGTCATGTCCATTAATTGCAAGTACACGGTCATTGCTGCAGAGCCTGCCGTCCTGAGCAGCCAGCCCCCCTTCCAAAAGGTCAAGAATAAAAACTCCTGGCTCATCTGTTCTGCGCACGAGCTTGATGCCAAGCTGCTCGCTGGAGTCGCGCTTGTGCAGGGTCACCTGAAAGCTGTCCTCCCGCAAGGAGCTGGGGGTGTCCACGTGGGTGTGCATGCGGCTGCCGAACCGCCGCTCCCGCAGCACCGTGAGGTGCAGCACCGAGCAGGGCTGGGACAGCACAGCTCGAGCATGGTTGTGAGACACATTGCTTATGTCAAAGCTATTGACCTGCAAAACAACGAGAGCAATAACAGAAAAATCAGAATTATAATTTTGTATGTTTAGTTGTTCCCGGTTATGGGAATAACCAAACTAAATTCACTCCCTGCAAAACCATCCTTGGAGCAACCTACACATCTGACCCTACTAGGCTTCCTGTCTTGTCCTTTCACCTACTCCTGCACTGGCTGCTCAATATACAAACCCATTTTTTAGCTTGAAAAAGACCCTTCAGGTTGAAAAAAACCCCTTATCATCAAGTCCAACTGTTAACCTAGCATTGCCAAGTCCACCACTACACCATGTCCTCAAGCACCACATACATGTACGTGTCTTTTAAACACCTCCAGGAATGGTGACTCCACCATGTCCTTGGGCAGTCTGTTCCAGTGCTTGACAACCCTTTTGTGAAGAATTTTTTCCTAATATCCAATCTAAACCTCCTCTAGCATAACTTCAGGCCTTTTCCCACTGAGGTGACAATGTCTCTCTAAGAGTGAACACCCTCTGCCATCAAAGGCCAAGGTTTTTGTTCTCCTGGTCTCCTATACTTCTCTTCCTTAGGTCTTTACACTTTGTTCTCCAGGACCAGACCTTTGCACATGCTTTCAGTGTCAAGCCCAGTACCATTTAACACCATAAAATAATAGCTATAAAAGGAACACATCCAAATCTCTGAAGAAAGCTTGCATCTTACAATATGCAGTACTTCCATGATGTGAAAAAAATTTATAAAACTTGAAATTCAGAGTAATAAAAATTTGCTCATTAAGACACTAGAAAAAGATGGTTGCATTAGTTTTCCACTCTTAGCATGAACTTAAGAGATTTTCCACAGACTTCAGCTAGGTCAGAGTTTCAACTTATAACTTGTATCACTCAAAATTCAGCTGTAAATGAAAAACAGATTAAACTTTCTCTCTCTACAGCTAAGAATTATGTTTGTTATGCAGCACACTAATAAAAAGGTGAGTAATCTTCAGTCATTTCTTGCACTTCAAAGTTAAAAACTGACAGAGCAATGAGATTTGGCAGAAAACAGGAGCACCACAAAAAATCAGTACAAAAGCTGTGTTTGCCTTGTTCTCTAAGAAGGCATTCAGAGTTAACAATAAAACTTCATCCTTAGCATATACTTTGTGCACTAGTGGAGGAACAGCTGCCCCACAATTTCAGCAGATATAAACTAACATCAAATGGTCTATACTGATCTGCCTTACCTAAGCCTTTTAATGCTCCTCACTGCAACATAAGGACATCAAAATATAAACCTTCAGCTTCTCACCATCTAATAACAATATTAAAATGTCTTAAAAAAATAGGAAAAGAAAGGACCTAGAAATCTATGTACAACAGCTGCCACATTTACATCACACATCTGAGTTGACAGGCTCCCAGAGGATTGTGCCAAACCATTTGGCCGTGGTGGTTTCAGCCCAACACCCAGCACAAAGCCACCGCTGCCAGCACCACCAGGAGCTCAGATGTCAAACCATGGTTGTGTCCTGCTCAGCTGCTGCCCTGAGACATGGAAGAGAGGCACAGCTAGGAGAAATAACATTTAGAGCAGCCCCCTGTAAAAACCACTAGGGCTCATCGGAGTCCTTAAATTAAATCTAGCTTTATTTTTAGCTGTCACTAGCTAAAGTAAATACATAAAATATGGAAGTATTCAAAGGGCACAGAAGAATAAATGCAATAAAATGTAATTCCTCTTTCTACGAGGCAGTTCACAATTTCAGAATAAAACAGCCTTAGCATTTCTTGGGGAAAGAGATTCTCATTAGGACATACTTTACATGAATTACAGTCACAGTCCAGCACACAACAGAGACAATTTGTAGAGCACTTTGAAAATGTTAGGCACCTATCTGTACCTTGCAGACAACATAAGCTTTTTTGCAGCTGTTACTAAATGCTGTTCCCACAGAACAGAACAAGGGTAATACTTGTTTGACTGGGTAAGAAAATGCTAAGTTTCAACTGACAGTCCTTTCTGTGGCTTTCTTTTAGACCTTTACTGCTCATAAAAGCCCTTGAATTCATTTTCAGAAATACCTGACCCAAGTGTGCATGCTGAGCTGCATCTCACTTTGCCTTATTACAGACAGCAGAGACTGAGCCTGGGCATCTTAATACAACAGCTCAGTACCTGCATAGGTAAATTTGAAGAAATAAAGATATTGCATCTCTCAAAAAGTTTGCTTTTACCCTCTGCATCTCTTCCTTGGCATGACAGGACTCCTCTCATGGGCAATCCCTTAGCATCTGACAGCCCCACTGCCAGCATGTTGATAAGGAAGACTCACTGCAGCTTATAAATTCGTATTTCTCCTCAATTTAGTGTCATTTATGGCTTTGGAAACTGTAATTGACACCTGCCCAAACAGAAGGAATTTCCAAAGTGTCACAGGACCTCAAGCTCCCTGTTCTGTCAACCAAGTAGAGCCCTTGAGTATCAAAATAAATGAGGCAGCATTCAATCAGTGTCTGCAATTACTTGTTGAAAAGAGAACATTTTGGAAACCTCTTGGGTTGTTTTTCAGCCCAGCCACTATGCTAACACTCCCTGAGAGGAAAAAGGCATGTTTCTCAAAAGGGACTTTATTTTCTGAAGTGTAAAGTAATTTCATTCCAAGGGTAACTACTGCATTTAAGTAACTTCTATTGGCTTGATTTCAAAACAGTGAAATGAAATAGGCTGATACTACTTTTGTACTGATCTTAGGCTGCCAATCAAAAGCAAATATTCTGAAATAATTTTGAATTATGTTAATATATTTGTTTCAGGTGGAATGATTTAAAATAGAAAAAAGCTGGAGGACTGTCGTGTTTAGGTAGCACTCAGTTACTGCCATTGTTAAGTATCCTACAAACAACCCCTTCCCCTAATATAAGTTAAAACTTCAAAATTAATAGAATTTGATCTTTTTACAATGCCTGTGGCTAATTGCTGAAAACTGTAACAAAAACACAAACCAGATAAAACCCAACTTACATTTTAATTTTGTTTACTTTTTTAAAAAAAAATACTTAGATCATCTTGCTTCAAACCATGCCAGTGAAGACTCTCACTGACTCTTCCATACATACTCAAAGATGCAGGTCAACTGTGTAGGCTATTGGAAGGGAACAGTGAAGGCAGATTAAAATAACAGTTTAGATTAAGTCAGCCTTACAATCCATAAATTGCTTTTCACACAGGACAAATTACACTAGCTTCTTAGCCAGAAATAGACTTAATTTCCTTCAGAATGTGGGCATAAAGTTGAAATAAAGACCAAGTCCCACAATATTTAAAAACAGAAAAAAAAACCCCTTTGTATTTTAAATATTTATAAGAGATGCTAAGGATAATTCCAGGGTCTGGTCCAACAAACAACATAAAGCATGATAGCCAAAAGTGCTAGAACAACAGGCTCTGCTCTGAATATTAATTTGCCTTCCAACTGGTAATTGCAAAGCTAACATTTACACAACATACTCTGACAAGGAAAATCTCCCATCTCATTTAACAGCAGTTCTGCAAGGAGTGAATGGAAAGCAAGCAGACAGAATATGTAATTAGGTTCCATACTTGAAGTATTTGGTCTCCAGCAAGAAGTCTTCCATCTCTGGCAATGATCCCATCTCGATAAACCTCTTGAATGACAATGTTGATCAAAGGTGTTTCATTGCCACCCACTATGCTAATTCCTAATTCGATATAAGGATTGGACCGATGAATTTCAATAGTAGTGATCTCTCCTTCAGGCAAGGTAGGTGGTTGTTGATTTGCTGCCAATTATTTTTAAAAAGAAAGATGATTAATATATTTTCTACTTCATTCACTTTCAATAAAGCAAATCACCAAAGGATAATGTAGACAGGCCACACAGCAACAGCTTAACAACAAACTAAACAAGTGCAAATGGATTAGTTCCACTACTTGTTGAAACACCTAGCTTGTTAGAAACAGCTCTCTCTAGTGACTTAGTAGCATCCATGCTTCCTGAAATGGGGTCATTTGGATTGGAAAAGAATATTCTGAGCCCTTTGGATATCCCATACTTAATAATAAATCTCATACACTTTATTTCCAAATGGATCACTGGGGAATTTGCATTTGGTGACGATGATAACAATGTATTTTAGGAGTTACTCTGTGGTGCATGACTTAGTCATGCCTCTTCATCATCTGATCTCACAACTTCACTAGCTATTGAGTTATTGGGTCAAGGGAAGGAGCCCATTTCTGAAGCAAACATGGAGACAACTAAAGAGGAAAAAGGGGATGCTAAAGGAAGGCAAATACAGAGGAGAAGGAAGGGGACAGAACCACCTTCCTCTGTGGTAAGTCTCAGCACCTCCTCTCTAAAATCCCAGGTCTTAGAGGTGTTACAGCTTGTTCGGTGCAGATGGATGCAGGAGTAACTCAGCTGCCTTTCTGCTCAAGCAGGACAGCACTCTGTGTGTGGGAAAGCTGCTGATTCAGATCGGGGGAAGGGTGAAGAGGGAAAAACAAATCTCATTTAGAAAACAACTTCTGTAATTTCACAGAAACTACACCCCTTCCATCTCACTGTGAGGCCAATCCTACTAGTAGATTAACATGAACTACTGCACCATGACATGATACATGATGATATAGCACCACGGTATCTGGCACACATTCTGAGATATTTCTTTCCTTCCAGTGACTTTATCCCAGTGGTAAACTTGCACATATACCGAAACCCACTAATATTTCTCCAGGAATTGCAAAAGAAAAGAGCCAAAGATGAAGATGCACGTTCACGGTTGGTAAGAGACAAGCCCTGACACCACAAATGTTTCCACATCTGATAAAAGAGACTTGAGAAGATAAGTGATGACATACTGTCTGCTACTGTGTTCTCCTCAAAAGGCGGATTGTCGATGCCGGGCTCGTCTGTCCAGGCGGGAAGGGCGGGCGAGGTGAAGCTCTGCTCAGCTGGCACTATTCCCTGATCTGTGTCCGGAGATAAACTGCTGGGCTGTTCCGTCCCACCGAGACCACTCTCACCCTCTGCTTCTGCTTGAAACTTGCTTGTTTTCCTTCTCTCCAGAGCAACCCTTCGATGAGAAGCCCCAGGACACCTGTGAAAACAATGTTTATACCAGGCTTCAAGCCTGCAGCCATGTTTGTAGCACAAAATGCCCAAGTACTCCATTAAATGAAATCAGTCTTCTACGAAGCAACAGCTTTAAACTCATCACAAAAAAAACAACCCCACATTGAATTTTAAGGCCAAAATATGCTTTAGTAGACAGAACCCCAAAATAATACTGCCTTCTTCATAAAACTTCTACTAGGTAGTTTATTTTGGCCATGAATTAAATGTGCTGTAACACCTTCTGAATGTGGACTTCCTCTGTTCAAAGAATCATAGAATGGTTTGGGTTGGAAGGGGCCTTAAAGGTCATCTAGTTCCAATCCCTCTGTCATGGGCAGGGACACCTTCCACTAGAAGGTAGATTCTGTGCATTTCAGTTTCTGGAAGAAAACCTTGCTGAAATGATTAAACAGGACTGGCAAAAAATTCCATGGGAGAGAAGCCCCATTCAAAGACACATCTGGAGATCCACTGAAGCAATCTCCTTTTACCTTAGTAAGCCAAGAGAAGTAACCATAATTTTCCTGGGGTCATTCAAGGAAGGAAAGAAATCAAAATTTTTATTGCAATCTAAGTGTTAAAATACTGAAAAAAAATTGCTTGTCTAGGAGTTTGTGTGAGAAGTTTAGCAAAAGTAACAGCTCTTCTTATCATCTCCTCTTGGACCAATAGAAGATGTTTCATCCTTCTCCTGTCTTTTCTTTTTGACTTCACACAGGAGGTGCATTTCTTTCTTTCTTTCTTTAAGTAACAATGCTCTATCAGCATTTGATGATATTCACTATAAACTTTTTTTTGTGAGTTTCCATTATTCTTCATGCAATATCTTTTTGCTTATATTCAAAAGCCTACAATAGTTTACTGCAAAGATGGGCTGCAATGTTGAAAATTCATGGAAAGCCTTCATTTATTGGATGGTCTGGCACCTACATGTAGCTCCTACTTCTGGAGCTGCTGACCACCTAAAAATGCTCACACTGCAGCAGTGCCAGAAGAAAGGAACTGCATTCTTGAAAGGACTCTCTGTTAGGGAACTTGACAGATTGTTATAACAAAAGAAGAAATGATTAATTTTTGCAACAGGACAAGAAATGTGTTAACAGAGTAAAAGACAGAAGAAGTCTAATGATGTCTTAAGTTGTTGAACCAGAATGTTTTGAGAATCACAATTCCACTCTGACATTCTGAGAAGGGGACTTGATAATTACAAGGCTAGACTGTTTCAGCGTGAGGGATTTTGAAGACAACCTGATAACAATGTTTTCAAGTCCAAAGAACGTCGATAAAGACACCTGTATAGATTTTGTGACCCTTAGCTGTGTTATACATACATAAAGTGATATATATATATAGA